CTCTATCACTCTGCTTGAGGTTTCCCTGGCCTCTGCCTTCCCCAGATGTCAGGGCCTGTGTACACAGGATTAACTCAGCTCCTGAGGAGCAGGTGCTGCTGAATACAGGATAATCAGATCAGATGGGCTCTGCATCTGTCAGGATGGAGCAGCAGGGGGGCCTGCATCCTGAGCAGCATCTCCAGGGAGCTACAGACTGTGAGCATTCATCTTGAGACACAATCTGTAAGAGAAAGAAGTCTTCCTTCAGCGCCCCCTGTGAACAGGGAGGATTCCTAAATACTCGGTGAGAAATATCCCTCCATGGTGAAGGTGTTTTGTTCACTTGTCTGGACCGGTGTGAACTCTGAGGCCAGGAAGAAGAGAGAGTGGGGGAAGGGAAGAGGAGAAGTGTGGCTGTTCGGGTTCTATCCAGAGCCTGTGCAGAATTAGTGTGAACAAAGCTACCATCCTCCGCTGCTTTCTGAGAAAGACTCAGTGGCCACCACAGCAGACCCTTTGCTATTTCAACTTTTCCTAAACATCCTGTTTATGCATAGAGGAGTTTGGAGAGTTGAAAACACACACACACACACACACACACACACACACACACACACACACACACAAACTCCCGTTCATCCAGGGCAGCTTCCACTCACAAGTCAAGGATAAGAGGGTCTTATGAGAACAGAGGCTCCTCAAGAGGGGGTCTGCCACCGGCTGGGCCTCTTCAAGCTGGCCAACCACTCCCAGACAGCAGTGTGGCTCAGTGTACAGGCAACCACTCTGAAACCCAGCTCACCCCGGCGGGCGCTGGTCCAGAATGGCCTGGCAAGTTGGGCAGTGCAGAGGCTCTGGACAAACAGCCGGTGGAGGTCCTGGCCGGCACCCCTGCTCCGTCTCCACTCCATCCTCCCGTCCTTTTGGCTCCAGACAGGATCAAAGCTTCCCCCTCTTCTTGGCTGCAGGCCTCATAAAGAGTCGTTTGCAAGAGCCTTTTCATAATGGTTACTGGAATTTGAAAACCTGGCTGTGAACATTTATGCCAAGCCAGCTGTTGGCACTGGTGCTGTAGCAAGGATCCATGTCTACCTCTGGCCTCTTCCATTTTGTGGCTTCTGTCCCTGAAACATCTGAGGGGGAGGGAGGGAGGAGACAGTGACAGAGAGACAAGGACAGAGACGCAGAGACACAGAGAGACAGAGAGAGAGATTGAAAGAGTGGGAGAGGACAAAGGGAGGGAGAGAGAGAGAATTTGCCAGGTTTTAGAAAGAAAACTGTAGAGAATGATGTGTTCTCATGTGGAGTTAGTTCGTCAGGGTTTTTAGTCTGTTAGCATGGCTCCCAGACTGGGATTATGAATGGGCCCTGGCAGGTTGTGCGGACCACCTCTAAAGCCACAGCCGGGGGTGGGGGGGGGCAGATGTGTTAAGAGACACAGAGAAAGTTCAATTAGACCCATGAGTCAGAGAATACTGAAGACCAAGACAAATACACTCCCCACAGGTGTGGCTCTGGGGACAGGAAGGGGGAGTCAGGGAGGCTGGGTGTTGTCCTTCCTGTTTGGAGGGACCTTGTAATACAGTCTTTCCTTGGTCTTCTGACTGAATGCTGGGATGGATGACAGCAGGCCCCCTCACACATGCTGGGCAAGGGCTGAACCCTTGAGCCATATCCCCAGCCAGCAGACACACACTGTCTCTCCTGCTACTACAGGGATCAGGGAAGGAGGGAAAAGACCACTTCCTGTTGCCTGAGACTTCACAGTCACTGGGAGTGTGGCCTAGATACACTAAAGCTATGCAGATGCAACCCTACTTCCTTCTGAATGTTCTGTTCCTTCCTTTTCCTTCCTTCCCACCTCCAATGTTAACTCTCTCTCTCTCTCTCTCTCTCTCTCTCTCTCTCTCTCTCTCT